TAGAGAGAAAAATTTATGACTACGATCAAATGATCTTGAAATGAACCGGCCTAAGGCTACAATCCGACCCGTTAGTCTTTGTACGGCTTTCACGCTGTCCATAACGACGATGTCTTCGATGGCCTTGATTTTATCGTGGTTAATCTCTATTCCCCGATGTGACACCATGAAGCCGAGAAACTTGCCCAAACCGACCCCGAAAGCACATATTTCGGGGTTGAGCTTCATGTTGTATTTCCTCAAAATTTTGAAAGTTACCTGCAAATGGGTCAAATGGTCCTCTACGCGTAGGGATTTAACTAGCATGTCATCAATATAAACTTTCATTGATTTTCCTATTTGTTCTTCGAATATTTTATTTACTAGGCGTTGGTAAGTAGCCCCTGCATTCTTTAGCCCGAAGGGCATCACATTATAATAATACGTTCCATATTTGGTGACAAATGAAGTCTTTTCCTGGTCCTCCGGGTTTATCTGGATTTGATTATACCCGGAATAGGCATCGAGAAAAGTGAGGATCTCGTGGTTGGCCGTGGCATCGATCATGCGATCGATGTTGGGTAGCGAAAAGGAATCTTTGGAGTATGCTTTGTTCAAATCCCTATAGTCTACACACATTTTAAGTTTGTTCCCTTTTTAGGCACTACAACTACGTTGGCTAACCATTCGGGATATTTCACCTCCCGAATGGACCCTACTCTAAGAAGCTTTGTTACCTCGTCCTCTATGAATGCGTGCTTTTCCTCGGACTGGGGTCTTCTCTTTTGCTTCACCAGTCTGAACCTGGGGTCCAAACTTAGCCGATGCGTCTTTATGTCCGGCGGGATCCCTGTTATATCTAAATGGGACCAGGAAAAACAATCAATGTTATCGATAAGAAATTGAACGAGTTTCTTCCTGAGCTCGGGGCTCAACCCCATTCCTAAGTATACCTTTCGCTCGGGCCAGTGCTCGATTACTGTGACTTGATCTAGTTCCGCGATTGTTGATTTGGTGGCGTCGGAGTCATCGGGAATCATGAAAGATCGAGAGACCCTTTGATCATCATCCTCTTCGATATTCTGGTTATCTGGCTGGGTCGAAGCCGATGTCTGTGATTTCTATTTGGTGTCCCGTTCTCCTTCTGATCCCGATCCTTTTATCGGCAAAGGTGAGGACATTGGTTTGGCTTCCTCGACGGTGAACATTTCCTTTGCGGCCGGTTGTTCTCCGTACACCGTTTTGACACATCTCGATGTCGGGAATTTGAGGGTCTGGTGTAGGGTCGAAGGTACAGCTCTCATGTTGTGGATCCATGGCCTTCTGAAAAGGGCGTTGCATCTCATATCACCTTCGATCACGTGAAACTTTATTTCCTGGATGGTTCCGGCTAGGTTTATTGGTAGGATTATCTCGCCTTTGGTGGTTTCACATGCCATATTGAACCCGTTTAGAACAAGAGTTACGGGTACGATCTGATCCTGTAGGCCGAGATGCTCTACTACCTTCAATCAGATGATGTTGGCCGAGCTACCTGGATCGATTAACACACGCTTAATTTTAGTTTTATTCATGAGTACAGATATTACCAGTGAGTCGTTATGTGGTTGGATGACCCCATCTGCATCTTCATCATCGAAGGACAAAGTCCCCATGGGTGCGTAATCTTGAGTCCGAGATTGCTTTTCCTTCACAATCTATGTTTTAGTGCATTTAAGCACTGGTCCCTGAGGGGTATCGATGCCGCCGATAATCATGTGAATGACGTGCTGCGGTTCTTCTTGCTCGTTTTGCTTACTGAAATCCCTATTTTTAAAATGGTTCTTCGCCCTATCACTCAGAAATTCCCGAAGGTGCCCTTTGTTAAATAAGCGGGCTATTTCCTCTCTTAGTTGCCTACAATCTTCCGTTCTGTGGCCATGGGTACCATGATATTCACACGTTTAATTGGGATTTCGTTAGGTAGGATCGTTCTACATGGGTCGAGGCCATTTGGTGTCTTTGATGCGTCCGATGGCCGACACGATAGCGGATGCACCAACGCTGAAGTTATATTCTGATAATCGAGGTGCTTCTATATGATCGGCATATTTATCGAAGCAGCTCTTACTCATAAGTCCCCGAGAATTTTGTCCTCGATCATTCCTTCGATTGTTCCGAACTGTATTGCGTGCTGAATCGTTGTTTACCCGATCTGGGACGTACGATCGATATCGGTCTCTGTTCGACCTTTGTTCTCTGTCGATCTCCTTTTGGTTTTTAGTAGTTGTCCTGTTCTGATGCACGGGTCCATATGGAGCTCCCAACTGATCATTCTCGACCCTAATTTTTGATTGGTATCGGTGGTGTACATCAGCCCAGTTTATCGCTGGATACTCGATCAAATTTTGTTTCAGCCGATGTGATGCTGTCGAACTTAGCTCGTTCAACCCTTGGGTGAAAGCTTGTACTGCCCAATCGTCTGTGACCGGTGGTAATTCCATGTGTTCCATTTGAAATCAGGATACGAATTCCCTCAGCATTTCATTCTCCCTTTGCTTTACTTTGAACAGGTCTTATTTCCTTGTTGCAACCTGTATGGCACCAACATGTGCCTTTACGAACGAATCTACTAACATGGCAAAAGAATCGATAGAATTCGGCGGTAAATTGTGGTACCAGATCATCGCTCCCTTTGAGAGGGTCTCCCCGAACTTTTTCAACAACACGGATTCGATCTCATCGTCCTCCAAATCGTTACCTTTGATGGCACATGTGTAAGAGGTGACATATTCGTTAGGATCGGTTGTACCATTATATTTGGAAATTTCGGGCATACGAAATTTTTTGGGGATTGATTTCGGTGCCGCACTCGAGGGAAAAGGTTTTTGTATGATTTTTTTTGAATCAAGCCCTTTTATCATTGGTGGATCCCCCAGGATTTGATCGACCCTGGTATTGTATGTTTCCACTCTTTTGTCGTTGGCTTCGACTCGTTTTGTGAGTTCCTCGAGAAATTTAGTAATTCCGGGCTTTTTGACTCGGTCTCGTGCAATTACTCATGGCGGGCTCTGTTCTAGGGGTGATTTCTCGAAGTGGATTGGAATTCGGCCTACTTTGTGCGCGAGTTTGGCTCTTTAACTGAGCTATCGCTACTTGTTGGGCTTGTAGCATCTCGAAGATCATACGTAAGTTGGCCCCGATTTTTCCCGCGTTTTGGGTGTCTCAGGCTACGGATCGAGTACCGCCTAGAATGCTTCTTTCCGGTTCGGAACGCTGATTCGCCTCCAAAGCTATTTTTGAATTGACATCCAATGGTATTTCGGCTCAAATTTCGGGTACTTCGATTCGAGCCTCGGTGCCATCGTTAATTGGCCTTCCGGCCCCGGGTGCCAAGTTGTTGGTTTCATCTTGAAGGTCGACTTCGTGATCGATAGGTAAAGCCATTGCTGATTTGAAGTTGCAAGCTGGCGTGTACTTTAGATTTGTATCAAACGATCATTGTTACCCTTAGCCCCACGGTGGGCGCCAAAATGTTTACCGAAAAAATCGGATAACGTTAGATTTTGTGTATGGTTCTAAGGATAGGCGATATAATTCGATATAAATCGTATAGAGAAATAGAGATACGTATATTCTTGACTATGAGAATGCAAATAGTGGGCAATAAGAATGAATGAGATAAAGTAAAGCAAACATAAAGGAATATCTTTCAATCTGAGAAGTGATTTTTTGTCTCTCTCTTTAGCTTACAAGGATTCCCCCTTTTATAGAAGAGGGTCATTACAAAAAATAATAAAATAAAGCATATAGTGGAAGGTCCATGATGACTAGTCTCTTCCTTGATTCCCGTCAAGATTCTCTCTCTTGGTGCGGTCGCAATGGCTCTTGTCTGTGAGCTCGATACTGGCTCGAACTCGTTATTGAGTCGGGCTCTTCGGTGTTGGCTCGAGTTCGACCTTCGAGATGGGCGTCGCGTATTTTCGACCTCGAAGCAGTGCCTTGCGGATCGATTCGGTCATGGGCTGATAGGGTTATCGAGCCGACTCCTCGAGTGTCCTTCGGGCTCAAGGCTCGTTAGTACCGACTTCGGAGCTCACTCCCAAAATCTCATTCTGACTTTTTAACACTCGAACTCGATCTAACGTAGAAAAACCGAAATGTATTTCGACCGTATACAACTATGACAATGAATATGGTGAAGGGCGATGGGCTTTGATGATGAGCACGGAAGCGAAATAATCTGGTGATAGATGATGACGACTATAACCGAGGTGGTTGTGGTCGTAATGGTGGGTCTCGATAGTGGTGCTTATACAGTACGAAACTTGAATTTGTGACCAAGTCCGCTTAGCTCTTGTACTTGTCAATTGACATATGCTAATATCAATTTATTTTGTTTTGCTGAGCAATAAAATTGTTAGGTCTTACCTGTGAGTTTTTTTTCGTCATCATTTTGAAGTGGAAAACGTATTGATTCACTATGTTTTACAGTATCTTAGTTTTATAATTTTATTGTTTTTCACCTTTATTGTATTTCACCATATTATTTTGTAGATGATTTGACAAAGTGAGGATAATATACATTTTCTCATTGCCCCAAATGTTTTGGCTACGAATTGGAATCGTGTCACTTGATGTTTAATTAAAGACTACAGAAGGGTGGAGGAGGAATTGGCACTTACAATTTGAATAGAAGAAAATATTTTTTCCCCAGATCTCTTGTATATTATTTTCAGACCTCTTATGGGTAAAAATAAATATCTCTTCTAAAAGGGACATCAAACTAAAATTAAATTTATAAAGAACTACAAAATCAATTGATTGAATTCCTCATCAAACAGTATCAGTTATAAAGGAATTATTTTTTGTTGCATGCATTGATTGGAGATGCTAGTAATATGAAATTGGAGCGTCAAATATAACATGGAACTCATTCAAGCCGTCCGAATTTTGGGTTGGTTGGAGTTGAAAAAGTTCTTTCATGGACCAATTTGGGTATTCACTCAAATTACCTTATTTAAAAATCATGGCCAATTTTGAAAAGCTTTTAGGACCAACAAAGAAAAATGAAAAAAATGAGTGGGCATGGAACACTAGGGCCGATGTGGACAAATAGCAAGTTTGAGAACGTCAAACCTTAACTCTGTTTGTTAATAATTTCTTTTATCGCAACTTATTTTAAAATTTTCAGTTTGCAGAAGTTAACTTACCCACTGTGACTGCGTTGTTGAACTCATAAAAGTCTTGGATGATGAATCCCAACACTCCTCAAAATCAACTTTCAGACTCCGTACCTTTCCACTTGGCTGTCGTGCCTGAAGAGGTCCCTCTGGATATTTCAGAGGATGAAGATGCTAATCTTGCCGTAAACTCCACTTCAAGTCCTGCTTAGAGTAATCCTACCTTAAAACCTCTTTCAAGTCTTATTGAGAGGCTTTTTGCTCAGGGATTTGAGGGTGAAGAAGAAGAGTTTGACTTTGTTTCTGAAGAGCCACCTCTTGCGACCCTTCCTTTGAGCCTCGTTGCTCCTACTACTAACCTCGTTGTTGTCCCTCGTGATGAAGTTGGTCCTTCCATTGGGAGAGGTACGAAGCAGGTTATGATTGAAGTCCCCGAGAGCATGAATTTACTAAAGAAATCCAACTGAGTTGCGGTTTGGTTGAAACCTTTAATTGGGCCCCTCGAGAGGGAAAAACTTGAATCTCACTCCTCTATCACTCTGATGAATGATGTTATTCATTCTGCTCTTAAGGTATACTTTTCCTCTCTTACCTATTTGATTTCTTCTTTCTTTAAGTTTATAACTCCACTTCCTTGTCTTTTTGCAGATTAACTTAACATGTATGGAGCTAATGAGGAGAGTGGCTTAGACTGAGTAGCAGGTTGCAGTGTTGAGCATGGAAGCTGACAATTGAAAAGAGCAATTTGAGAGCCTCCAACTAAAGAAGGATATTTTGGCTGTTGAGAAGGAGACTTTGGAGCAACCGATTAGGATCACTACTGCTGAATTAGCAGTAATGAAAGCTTCCGCCAATCAAGCTGAGAAGGAAAAAGATAGGATGGAGGCCACATTTTCTGAGCAACATTCAAGGGCCACTAAGGAGATTCGGTATTTGAAAGAACTTCTGAATAAAAAAGAAGTGTATGCGGGTGATCTGGTCCAAGCATTGATTCAAGCCCAAGAATATCTCCGCACCTCTTCCAACATAGTTAGTTCCCTTAAATCTACTCTTAAACCTTTGAAGGTTTCTTATGAAACAGCCGAATCTGAAAAAGAAGAACTGAGGGCTGAAGTTGACCAATTGGAGAAAGATTGTGAGGCTCTCGAGGATAAGCCAACTCTGGATATAAGTTGGGCCTTCCTGAACACGCTTCTTGAAACTTTGACTAAGGCTAGCCAAGAAGGCTTTGATCTAGAATCTGAGATTGCTATGGCTTGGGATGCAATTGAAACTACTCAGCAACGTCAAAGTTTCTATACACCTGAGGACGAAAGTACCAAGAGTGATTTAAGCAATGATAGTTCAGAGGCTGATCCTGCTGATCCCCAACTTTCATCTTCTAGTCCCCAAGTTGATCCTTCCGCTTCTTCTCAAGATGCTCCCTAGTTTTCTCTTCAGCAATAATCTTTTATGTTTCTTGGATATTTTCGGATATTTTTTTATTTGTTTATCAGAAACTTTTATCAATGTTAAATTTCAGCATATTTTATGCATGCCTTTGCTCTTTAATATTTTTAGCTTTTTCCGCATTATCTAAGTAGGATGAATGCTTTAATATACCGTGACTATATACACACGGTCTTAACTATAAAAGAAGGCCCTTTTATATAAATGACACTGATGAAGATGAAGATGACGTCTAATCTTCATATTGGTGTAAAAATATGAAATATGAAGTAATTTGAAGAATTTTTGTTTGATCTTTCAAAATAAATATTCATGTACATCACTTTTATAACTGCTTTCTTTATAGCAGGTTTATAGGTACGGGTATAGTTATCATGTGACTATATTTGTAGCCTTAACCTAATGGATTTTGGGAGTTTTCTATTGAATCTTCAATTTCATGTTGATTCTTCAGCTCTTCATTTCCCATTCAATCTTTGAGCTTAAAAATTCTAAATATTCTTCAAGGTTTTTTCTTTGACCATTGAGTTATGATTTTGGGATTTAATTCTTACATATGCATAGTCCTCCCAGTGGTAATGAGTTTTCTGAAAGTATACTTACTATTTGACTAACTTGCACTGTTAGGTTCTTAATTGCTTCATCATTTTGTATAAATCTCTCTTCAACACTTTTTCATAAACTTATACGTAAGCTCTTATAAACTACCATTCTCCTCTTGAGGTGGTTGTCTCACTTCGCTTTCGTTCTAGTCATAATCAGAGTATTCGTTCCATCCAGAGTTAAGATTGTGGCCGTATGAAACCTCATACCTGTAAGGACTAGAAACAGAGTGAGACTTTTCAAAAGACAAACCATAGAAAGAATTATTTATGCTTGACAATCAACCCATAAATAATTTCCCCTACATTTAAAACAAATAGCAGACTTTAAATAATTTTCAGCTGCTTACTTGATGACGTCCAGAACACACCTCGATAAGAGATATGATACAATCGTATGCAATATAAATTACCTAACTATGAGTCGGGGTCGAATCCACAGGGATTTATAAGGGGTGTTAGTATATATACTTGAAGAAAGAGAATGGATTAACTAAATTTGCACTTCCACAATGAGTTTTATTTCTACTTCTAATGTTACTCTAACAATTATAAGCTAAGTAAAAGAAACTAGAAATGAACGATTATTTTTGATGTTTTTTCCAAATAGTTTAAAAGCCTAGGGATGTGACCATAACTTAGGTGTTCGCCTAATGGGTTAAATACGTTAATACTTATTTTGTTGATTAGGGTGTAATATAGTTCTCAACTCTATATTATCCACTCAATACCTCTCGGTCAGAGAGTGATTTTGCCCAATTTGGATTTTTCAAGTCCAAATGGGTATCAAACAAAATAGTTGATATGAGCTCGAGTGTTCTTACTATCTCTAGTTTGAACCCTTTAATTTGGCAAATCAAACTCTCAATTAGTCCAATTTCTTGTTAGCCAAGTTATCCTAGACTAGGTCCATCTTTCTCAAGTAGAGACTGAGTCAAAAAGGCATGAATCAATATTTACAACCATTAATTCTAAAATTAAAACACGAACTAAGCTAAATAATCGACACACAATCATAAACAAGCATTAAATTAAATACCCATAAGGTTTACACATTAGGTTTGGGTCACAACACTAGTAAAAATCTAGCTACTCATAATAGGAATTGAAGAAAAATAAAGAAGAAAAGCTAATTAAACTCATAATCAAAGCTTAAAATGATAAATATAATGTTTGAACACTAAAATAATCACAAACTTCCTAAAATGACAAACGGTAACGGCTACAACAACTTTTTACTTCCAAACTTGACCTAAAATTGTGAAACTCATCTATTTATAGTGGATTGAAATTCGCTGACAAAAATGCCTCTCAGGAGGTTCTACGGCCGCACAATTCCATGTGCGGTCCGCATATCTCTTCAGTTGGCATGAGATGGGATTCTGCAGCCGCACATTTCTGGATTGCGGTTGCGAAGCAACTTCTGCGGCCGCACAATTCTTATGCGGTCCGCACTTCAGCAAGATTTCAAGACTTGGTCTTTTTCTTACTCTCTGAATTTGGAATCATTTGTCAGTGCAAACCCTGTTTTGCGGCCGCACAATTCACGTGTGGTCCGGACATTGGACAAAATCCTGTTGGGTTATTTCGCTTGGTTTGCTGTCGCGGATGGAGTTCTGCGGTCCGCAATTACTTCTGCGGACCGCACTTCTTTGCTTATGCGTCCTTTATTGCCTTGTGCTTCGGAACACTCCTTTTTAAGTCGGATTTCATCATGGGAGACCAAACTTCCAACATTCCTGCAATTTGCACAATTTTATTAGTTTCAGGAACATATATCAATACTTTCGGACTAAAACAAAAGCAAAAAGGTGCTAATAAGTAGTCAAAATACCCACTTATCAACTCCCACAAACTTAAGTCTTTGTTTGTCCTCAAGCAAATAAATTAGTTCTCACCTCCTAAAGTTAAGGGTCATTTCAGCGAGTCAATGGTGAGCCATTCACACATCAGTTGGGACCAATAATTACCCACACTACTCATGTATTATCAACAAGGCGACAAGTCAAATATTCATGCACATATAGTTATAATGTGACATTTGAGCTTCAAGAATTGACTTTACTCATCAAGGACACTTGATCTATCAAGTAGGCCATGGTGGACTCCAAACTCTTACTCCTTTACTTTCTATTTCCCAAGCTCACTTAAGAAATTAGCACTCAATTCGAAGATTCATGAGAGGCTTACTCATCTCTCACAAGAGAATGTCACAAGTACGACTTCAAGTACCATTGGCTTGCCCCTCATGTAGATCGCCACTAATGTAAACTCACTCAATTTGAAATCAAGTAAGGCTTCTTTCGGGATGTAATGAAGGCTTTTGGGTTAGGGTAGGATACCATATGGGTAAGTGGTTACACCTTTCTTTAAGCACTTTATATTTCATTTCTCGGCTCACAATTTCCCATTCTTAGAGGCACTTTCTTTTCATTGAGGACTAGAGAGACTTAACATCACTCTTTCTTGTTCATTTCACTCTTTTTCCCCCTTTTAATTTTTCAATGTATGGGATCATTACCTTTTTTGAATCCATCAACCCTTCCACTTATTCGCGTTTTGCATTTTTCTTTTTCTTTTTTTTGTTATTTTCTTTTCTTGCCTTCTCTTTCATAGAGATCATTTTTTTTTCTCTTTTTGTGCCTTGATACCTTTTTCAAATTCCTCATCTCTCCTTCAAACTTATGTTTTAAGCTATTTGTTTCACAAGAGTGTTAAGGAAAGTCCGGGTGCCAAGATAGGGTCACGACAAAACGGGTAAAGGCTTATACATGGTTATCAAATGAGAAAGACTAGAGGCTCAAAGAGGTTGACTGGGGATAACGACATTCATTGGCAATAGAAAGCTCAAACGGGCCAAGGAAAGCCTACAGTCACTTCTCAAACCAAGCAAAACTTAGGATTTCGCCTTGAAACACATTCGGGGCAAGTTCTAGACCCTTCGCACATATACTTGGACTAGCAACAATTCATCTCACCCCTCACGCAATTAGATTGTAAAAGCGGTTGAGTTGAGGGTCCACAACGACCATATTCAAGTTTAAAGATCACTTTGGTCCAATTAAACCACTCGATGGTTGCTAAAGTCAACTCAAGAGTCACAAAGTCACTAACTATAGCTATTTCTTTCAAAGACCTATCCATCGTTGGGACGAGTCATCCGGTTCACACAACAAACACCTTTGGAAAGAACCATGGTGTTAAGAAAACCAAAGGCTTATTATCTACTAAAGCATAAAAAGAAGCTACTTAACAAAACAAAAACTAATATGGAAAAGATGAAGAAGCTAATAAGCAAAAACAAAGATAAAGAAGTTTATGAGCAAAACTACTAAAGATAGAATGAATATACATGGTAAGAGAGAGAGAGAGAAGATAGATAAATACAAATAAGAAAAAGAAAAAGTATCATCAAATTATTACAGGCCAAATGTATCAAAGTGAACCAAATGTGCCAAATAAACTCCACCCCTCCCCCGAACAAAAGTAAGCATTGTCCCTAATGCTTAGCAAAATAAGAGTAAAGAAGGAGAGGGTGAAGAAAACTCCCTATGGCTCCTTGGACATCTCTATGTCCCCAACAATGTCATCGCCCTCCGTATCAGCCAACTGGATCTCATCATCCTCGAATCTAGTTGTGGCTGGGTTACCGAATATCTCACGCACTGCCTCAGCAGTGTCAGCATCAAGGTCTGGCTCTTCAGACTGGCCAACTGGTGCTACCGGTGCAGATCAAACTTTTCTACTTAGGTTTTTCAATCTCGTGCACAATTAGACATGGCAACATTGTAAAAACACTAAATTATACTAATCCAGTCCCCATAGAGCATGTATCATGTTAACCTAGTTCAGATTTACCCCACATGGACACACAATTAAACTCTAATAACAAATGGCCTAAAAAGAATGAAAAATCTACAAATTAAACTAACAAAAAAAAAGTAACGTGAAATTGAAGCATACCAGATAGAATGAGTGTAATGAGTGAATGATCAAGGTGTTTGTGTGTGTGGACAGATAAAAATCTCCAAGAAAATTCAACAGAGCACAATTTTTAGTTCAGAGAGTGAAAAGTGTCAAATGGGCCATGTTCCTCTATTTATACCAATTGTTTGCTAAGGGTAAAAAGGACGAGTGCGGCCGCACATTTTCATGTGTGTTTCGCACTCTATTAACTGGGGACCTCATCTCATATTTTCATCTGCGGTCCGCGCATTTTCATGTTTGGCCGCAGATTTCATGTGCGGTTACAGATCGATCCACGCACTGACAAGCTTAAACTTCAGAGAGTTGGTATTTTTACATCTCAATTGTGCGGTCCGCAAGATAAATGTGCAGCCGCAATGCTCTTTTGCTATAGCACCAACAAATGTGTGGTCCGCACAATTAAAATGATATCCGCATTCCTTAGAACACTTAGCCAAATATCCTGTAAGTCACACTCACCCCCGTAGAACACTTCAAA